CACTGAATGGGCATGGCAGGGCACAGGGCATTCTTCTGACCCCATGGCCTATTGTTGGTGGCTACCATTGTACTAACAACAATTGCAATAATCACAGTAGTTATCTCTTGCCTCAGCCTCACTCCACACCAGCCATTCAGTGTTTATATGTATCCATGATCATTAATCCTTGCAACGATGTTGGGTTTGACATATTATTGTTATCATCACTGTCCTGTTTGATAAGTGAAGAAACTGAGTGGAGAGTGATTGATAAACTTTTCTCAGAGAGCATGCTCTTAACCACCTCGCTGTGCTCTTCCCAAGGATTCTATATGCATTATTTCAGGTCATCTTTAACAACACCTTCAGAATTATATATTATTAGCTCTAATTTTACAGATTAAAAAAATTGAGGGAGCAGGTGCTTAGTGTAGGGGTTACAACTCCCACAGCCCACATCGGAGTGCTGGGCTGGATGCTGCTTGCAGCTTCTGCTGCCAGCTTTCTGCCAGTGCAGACCCCGGGAGCCCTCTTGATTGAAAAGTCAGGGGAAGAAAGAAAAAAATTGAGGATCAGGGAGATTATCACTTGTGTAAGGTCACCCAAGTAGTAAGTTGAAAGGTCAGTACTGAACTTGGCTGCAGAGCTCCCGTTTCCCTGCTCCCTCCTCCCCACTGCTGCTGGTTGGCACAGGAGCTCACCCACAGAGAAGGGGACAGCGACTTCAGGGCAGTTCAGTTTTGTGCCACATCCAAAACTGACGCAGGTTATAAAGACATGGTTTTGTGGAAAAGGAAATAGAAGCTGAGGTCCCTGAAGAACAGGACAGTGTGAAATGGGTGGTTTAAGTTTACTGGACCTTCACAGGAAATGAAGCTCTGGGAGGCAAGGCGAAAGTCTGCAGTTGCTGCTAGGACAGCCCGCAAAATGTGTTGATTTTCTTGTTGTGAGGCAGCCTGCACACATGTTTTTAAAAATTCATTTATCTGAAACGTACACACAAAGTGAGATAAGCAGAGAGGGATTCTCAGCTGCTGGCTTTGTGACTGAGCCAGACCCAACATGAGAGCCACACACCCAATCCAGGGGTCCAGGCACTTGAGCCATCACACTGATGTCCCCCTGTGTATTCATTAACAGGAAGGTGGAATTGGGAACAGGGGTGGGGCTTGAATCCAGGTCCTTCGATATGGGACGTGGGCATCCCATAGGGCTTCTGAATTGCTGTACAAAACACCCGCCCAAGGCTGTCTCTTCAAATGAACTCTCCCCTTGCATTGGCAGGTATTTTGGCTGGCTCAGGGTTGTAGGCCAGAAGCTAATGATTCCCTTGCAGGCTGTGATGTCACCCACTGAATGTTCCAGCCAAGTGAACTAAAAGACCACAGACGATAGACCTCGTGCGGTGGTATTGTCCTCATGAATCTGGGATGACAAAAGCAGAATAAGTTTATAGTCAAGGGAAAGCCTCACCTTAAGTGTGCGCGTGCGTGCGCGCGCGCACACACACACACACACACACACACACAGACACGTCAGTGGAGTCGGTGCATTTTTGTGTAAGTCTTGGGGCTTCCCAAGAATCTGGTAAAATCAGGCTTGAAGGGGGTTTGAGCAGAGCTTTGAGATTCAGGAGAGCTATTAACACCCTTATGCTATCATTTTGCCAAAATAATTAAGGAAAGAACAGAAAGGGGTTTTCCTTAGGGGGTTTCTAAAATGGCAGTGCTCAAGTTCAGAGTGACAAACGTTAAGCAGCATGGTAGAGAAACAACAACTTCATTGCCAAGGTAATTCAGAAAGCTTATGGTAAATGGAAGAAGAAGACAAGCTTATCTTTTTCAAAAATGATTATTTTTATAATAAGTTTTCTGCGAGAATATCTTGAAGACTCCTCTTATTTATACTAAAGGAGACCTTTCTGTGTTTCGGTGGAAGGAAACATGATTCATCCAATGAATTTACCCTATGTTGAGAAGAGAGACTAAAATGGGGAAAATACGGTTTAAAACTAAATTTGATACAGTTAATTAATATTCATCAGAACAAACTGTAACTGCCAGCAAAATTTCCCCAGCAGAGGAGATCCTGTGACGGCAGGACCACACCTCAGCACGACACAGTTCCAGCACTCAGCAGAAGCCTGGCAGAGCCGGCGTGCCCTGACCATCCCTACGTCCTTGTAACTGTGTGTCTGTAGCCCCAGTCAGGACTGCCTTCCTGAGTGTGTGATGGTGTCACCGTGAAAGCTCACATCTCTGTGTGGACTGTGTGTCTGTGTCATTGTGTGTGCAGCTCGGTGTGTCTTACCGAGGGTCCTTAACAGTTCATGACCTTGACAATGACTTCGACAGTGCAGTGTCTCTTAGAGAGATGATGCGTTAATACTCCCAACAATACTACACAACTATTAAAATTACTGCCACTGAGGGAGACAGGGTAGTTATTCTTCCTCACATGTCCGGGTCACAACACATGAAGTGGGAAGAGCAGGGCTGGTGTTAAAATGCTTAATCACTGTTCTGGACTATTGGCTTGGTGGGGATTGGAGAGGTAAACTGGAACTGACACTGGAATTCCTGGAGTTGAAAGGGGAAAATCCTACAGGAAATTTCAACCTTGCTTCCTGGGATGTGAGTAGCCAGAAGGAAGTATCCTACTGAAGGGCATACTCCAGGGCAGGCTGCTTTTGGTGACACAGTCTCCCACAAACTCAATGCTGGGGAACTCAGCAGCAGCCTCACATCACCTTCAAGTCCCTTCTTGAGAGTGGGCAGACTGCTTCTTTCATTACTGACTTTATTGCAAAGTGGACTTGGGGTTCCCAGAGGAGTCCCCAAAAGCCAATTTAACTCCTAATTAAAAAGACTTCATATGTGCAGTGATAAACTAGTCATTAAACAAGGAAAAAGGTAGCATTTGGTAAGACATAATTAATAAAATTAAGTTTGGTGCTCAAAAAAAGGCAAGCTTAAAGAAAAGAAAGTTTTTAATTATTTTTATCTGAAAGAAACTTCTGGATGCTTTGGTAAAGTATTTTTTTTTTTTTTTTGTCTGACACAGGTCTCCCTGGAATTTCAGTTGCAGCTTCTCTTTCAGAACTGGCCTTAGCTGTTTCATGTACCTCGCCTACAGGTGATGTCACAAGGGCTTCTCTAATCTGGACACCCCTCGTAGATGGAATTGCAGAAGATTTAGAACAAACAACAGATCCAAAGATTGGAGTAGAAAAGGTGTTTATCGCTGGTTCTTGGCTGACTGGGATGACCCCCTATTTGCATGGAGATGGCAAATGACAAATGTCATTTCCATTAGAGGATCAAGGACAGGAGGGGAGGGCCATTGGATGCCTTCTAAGGAAGAATCTCAGCAGTGAAGAGGCTGTCTGTGAGTGTGTGTGTGTGTGTACCATAGCATCCTTGGTTTCCACTTAGTCCAACCACCAAGCACTGTCCTTGTGCCCCAGCCCCATGCTCAATGCCTAGGACCTCTCGGTGCTTATATTTTTGTCAAAAAAGATATGATAAACAAGTAAACAAATGTGTAAGAAATAAAATGTGGGGACTGACATTGTGGCAGAGAAGGTTAAACCACTGCCTGCAACACTGGCATCCTATATAGGCTCTGGTTTTAGACTCAACAGTCTAGTTCCATGCTAATGTCGAATTGGGAGACCCAAAAGAAGCTACAGGCACAGCCCCTGGGCATTGAGGTCATGCGGGAGTAAACCAATCATATGGGGAGTAAGCCTCTATGTCTCTCCTTTCTGTAACACTGCTTCTCAAGTTAATCAGAAAAAAAGAAAAAAGAATGGAACGTGCTAATAAATGGTATAGAAACAATTGGGAGACTTACAGAATAAATACATGGGCATCAAATTGGAAGGGGAGTTTGCTGGGAGCTGAAAGTCCACACGTGAAACACCCAGGAAAGTAAGAAGAGCGTTTTGAGAGAGATACAGGGGATAGTGGGGCCCAGGAATGGAAAGAACCTGGCTGGGAGTGGGAGAAGAGCTGACAGCGTGGAGGCCAGAAGGGAGAGGATGTGAGAAGGTGGCAGGCAGGGCCAGGTTTGGGAATGACTTTAAGCCACAATCTGGGATTCTATTAAATTCTCCATGCAGGGGTGGGACAATTGGGGGACTCCAAGGGAAGAAGTGACAGAGTCCAAAGAGCTTCCATGAAGATGGCTCAGGTGCTGAGCGGCAGCTGTGTTGGAGGTCAAGAGCTCGCTGCCCTCCTCAGGGCAGCTGGAGTCCTCTGGTCCTTGTCATGGGCAAGGTACAGACAAGGGCAAACAGGACTGCCACTTGCCATCTGGCACTTTACAACTGGGAGGGAAGTCAGAAAGTGTGAGCAATGTGGCTTGGGACTCCACTAGTTCACAGAGCCACAGAGGGCAGACATGGGGGACTCTTGGGGTACTGTGACATTGAGGAAGGAAATGAAAGAAACCTCACCTATCCCAGATGCTTGTCTTCATTTCATAGAAGACAAGGATATCTTAAAATCAAAGCCATGAGGATAGAATATCAGCCAACAAGCCCAGTTTTATAGCAGACACTTGAATTTTTCACATTTTGCATCAGAAGGTGGGGGGCGGAATCTTATTAGCACACTGGGAGCAAAGCTACAGACTGCTTCTCAGAACACTCATGTTTGGAGACCCACCTTCCCCTTACACAGATGACTTGAGCCTCAGAAGGCACAACTTCCCAAGGAGGATGATGGGATGGGAAGAGAGCCCAGGCCCATTTCCTGCCTCCAGTTTGCTTCTTGTTTCATTACCCTCATCAGGCTACCTTCTGCAGCTTATTCCTTCTACCAAGCCAAGATTCAGAGATTGGACTATGCCTGTTTGCTAAGCATGGAGGATCTGGGCCATTTTAACCCCTTTGCCAATATTTCTGAGGGCTAAGGTGTCTGTTAAGAAACCAGCCTTCCACAGAATAAGTCTCAGCCTGGGAGCCAACAGAATGGAATCCCTCTGCTTTTAAGGAAGAGAAAGACCTATCTCACCTGATCTTCAGGTAGGCGGCCACTCCAAACACCAACAACACCACGGCAATGACGGTCACGGTGATGGCGGCAATGCTACCTGTGAAGGAAGAAGAGATGGAAAGGATGAGGAAAGAGAGCTTAATGACAGTGGGGCACCTGCCACTTGCCTCTGCTTGGTTTCATCTTTTCTCTGGTAGAGGGAAAAATTATTTAAGCTGAGGTTGTTCCTCATGGAGCTCCAAACTGGAACATAATGGAGAGTCTTCATTCTGTATCCAAGACCCCTTTTTTTATGCCAGGCAAGGCTTGATAAATCATCAGGATTTATTCTGATATTTGTCAAGTCTCCTAGCTGGCTTGGGATTTAGAGTCAGTATAAAATCATATTTGTTTTTCTTTCTATGAATGTCACCAATCTGCTGCTGTTGCTGGCATTGTTTAGGAGCAGTAAGCTTTAAATCTCTCAGTGTCCTATTATCTTCTTTTATAGGTTCTGGCTTATCGTCCTATCACCTGTGGAATACTGGAAGACTTGGGATGTTTTCTTCAATAGCAACCACAAAGTCATGTGGATGCATTTTTAATAAAACAAAACCACACATCTATACCAGTCATATCTGCTTCAAAAGGGCCATCTTGCTGCATGTGCCAGATTTACTGGTGCCATCAAATGAGGATGTTTGAAAAAACAAAAAAAACGAAACAACAAAAAACGAAACAACCTCTTTGTAGAAGAAGTATGTCTGGCTTTCACTCTTGAACGGGAAGTTCGGCTTTCTGGCAAATAAAGTCAAGTTTGATGTAAAAATAAGAGTAAGTTTGGAAGATAAATTTTTGTTTTGTTTTTGCTATTGCTTGCAGAGATCAACAGGTGCACTTATAATGTAAAATGAGTAATCTTTCTTTAATTTAAAAATCTGATTCCAAAACCAGCTATCACAGGCAGTGAAAAAAAGAAAAACCACTCTTGAGCATACAGTCTCATGCGAATGCGTGCAGTATTGCCTCTGATTTCTACTGAGAAACACAGCACACTTTTTGTGTGAACTTTGGACTAGTAACATATATACTTCAGCTTTCTTTCACCTTAGAAACACCAAGAGTCTATTGAGCTCTTGTCTCTTAATACACAGAATGACTTCTGGGCACTAAAGCTGGTATTAGAGACCCAGCTTACTCTTTCAAACTCTTGGGAAATTATTTACTCCTTCAACAGATAAATGGGACTCTACTTAAACACACTGGAAAAAGCATGAGAAATCTGGAGCCTGAAGACTAGACTCAAACATGCCTCAACTGTTAGCTGTGTGACCACGAGCTACTGAGTTACCCAAAGGAGACTGTGAAGTGTCACATGTGTCCAGCTAGTGTGCTATACGTATGTGTGATCCTGGGCCAATTCCCATCTCTTCAAATTCATCCCATACTCACCTCTTCTGTCCTAATTCATCTCATATCATTTGTAGAACATTTAGCCATGTCCCCCTGTATATTTTTCTCTTTCATACAAATGGCTTTTGCTTATCGTTCTTTTTGTTTTCCCTTACACCCAAACAATTACAGCACAGCTAAGAAACAAAGCAAACCCATAAGCAAAGCTCTCCTTAAGTCTTGGGTGGGAAAAGGCTCCATCAGTCATGCATGCTACAGCTGGTTTGAGTTTCTGAAAACTCAAATAGATCAAGATCAGATCAAACATCAAGATCAAGATCAAAGCTTGATGCACCTGCACTGACCGCTTGCATATCCACTTTTTTGGTGTGTGTTTATTCTTGTAATCCATCTGGGCTAGATTAGCATACTTATCATTATAATTGTTTTCCATTTTTTCAATATTGTAAAGATAGAATGAAGCTACTGATTCTCAAATGTGTAGATCTGATCGCATAAAAACAGTCTGAGGTCAGATCCTCTTAAGGAGGAAAGCCTCCACTCCTTCTCCGAAAGGCTCCACCTCTTAGGTCATTGGCATCCGGAGTGTGCTGAAATTAGAACAATTCAAAGTTCACTGAAGCCTTCTAACAGCTCTTGTAAAAGCCAGTGAAGGGAGGCTTATAACCACAAGGCAAGATGATGGCGTATTTTAAAATTTAAAAAGATACCATACTGCAGTTAGGCGCTGTCTACAAACTCATCTTTTATTTGTATTTCTTTTTATTAAAAAAGTAGAGGATAAAAGAAATATAGCTGATGTTTCTATTGATACTTTCATATTGGAAATCATGACTTGACTTTTTTTCCAAGTGCCTTCCCTAATGCTAAACAGTTTGGTCCCCTTCCTCCTTAACGCCCAGCCCCAGTTTTCTCATTTGCTGAATTTGTTTGCCAGCTGTTTCTAAACATAAACCAGGCATTTTCCCATACTCAAGTGCTGTTTTTTGTTGTTGTTGGTTTTTAGACAGTGGTAGAGTGACCATTTCTCCATGGGATGGTGGCTGTCTAACTTTGTTAATGTGGCCAGACTTGCTCGTGTGTTCAGAGCTGGAATGGGAAAGTGAATTTATACCTTATGGGCCTTGGAGGGCAGCTAGGTTGAGAGGCACTTGTAGGAGCTAGAACTGCTCAGTATGAGATCCAGAGGTGTAATAGCAAATGGGTTGTGACTAAGTACAAGCATTCAGGTTGCCCTATTAGTCATTCTGCTACCCGGGGACTCCTCGCAAAGGGGCCCAGCCATGGGAACAAAAGTCCACCAGACGTAGAAAACTCCTGTCAACCCTGAGCCTGGGAGAGCTTGTGGCTTGAGCTTGTCAGCAGGCAGGGGTGATGGCTTCACATCAGACCCAGGATGCTCCTCCCTCAACAGTTCTACAGTTTGAGTACAGGAGGGTAGGAGGTGGGGAGAGGTTACTGAGCTAATCTAGCATGTTTCTACGGTGACTGAAAGTGTTTTATTTGCTCCTTGTGAAAACAAATGTCACCTATCCCAGTTCTCTTTTAACTAAGCCGGAATTCCTTCCTCCCCTTCCTCCTCTTTCCTTTTCGGGAAATGTGACGAAGGTGTGTCTGGGAGCTGGGAGGCTTTGCTTATGTGGAGGTATAGTTCTCTTGCTGGGTAGTGGGGGAGGGAGGAGGCTGTTATGCCAAGTTCTTCCTCATTGGGTTTTGCGAAGTACAGACTAGGTGTGACTCAGGCTGAAAGCCCAGAACAGGCAGAAACGGAGGGAGACAGAATTGAAGGAAATGGATCTATTTTATAAGCCAAGATATAAGAATATTCCACTGTATTAGCACATTCCACTGTGCCAACACATCTCACCCAGAGGACTGCTGAAGATCTATGAAGCAAAACCTCCTTGAAATTTGGCCCTTCTGAATCTGGGATTTCTCAGGGTACCACTTTAGTAACGAATCAGAAGAGGAATGAATGGGCTAAAGAGTAATCTTAGCCAGTGTTTAGAGGTGATTATGTTGGACAGGCCTTGTGCCAAGAACTTTACAGCCTTCATGTAATTCTCTTTATGGGATGAAAGGAATTATCCCCATTTTATGGAACAGGAAGTGCAGGGCCAGAGAGATGAAGAGCTTGATTAAGATATTACAGCTGGTAAATGACTGAGCCTGTGAACACATGACTGTCTCACCCACACTTTTTAATCTTTTCAATCATTAGTCTACTAGTTACTTCCTCCTGCCCTTTTCTCAGCTTGACTAACTCCTGCTCTTTCTTCATGGTGTAACTAAATATTAAGACTTCCAAAAAATTCTCTAGCACATGAAGATGCTGCTGTGTGTTTTTGGATCTTTGTGTCTCCTTCCAAACATTCTGTGATGGATTTGTCAACTTTGACAGGTAGATTCCAATCACAGGCATCTCCATATCTCTTGTTGTCTCCTGTAGGCTCCAAGCATCAACCTCTAGCCCACCCTGTTAATGTTAAACAAATAAATGCAATACATACTGAAAGAGAGAGAGAGAGAACTCCCAAGTGCTGGTTTCTACCCAAATGCCCTCAACAGATGGAGTAAAGCCAGGTCAAACTGGGTGCCAGGAACTCAATTGTGGTCTCCTATGTGCATGACAGGAACCCAACTACGTGAGCTATTACCAATGCCTCCCAGGGTGTGCATTAGCAGGAAGCTAGAATCAGGAGTAAAGCCAGAACTTGAACTCAATGTGGGATGTTGGCATTCCAAATGGCATCTAAACTGCTGTGCCAAACACCCACCCAATAAATGTAATGTTGATGGAAAGAAAATGATCATTCAAGTATTTGACTCTAAGTGGTTAGTATATGAGGAAATTTCTTGAGCAGTAGGTTCTTCAGATATTCATCTCAAAATCCCCCATTCCAGGTCTTTTCTGAGTACCTACTGCTATATCAGTGTCCTAGCATCCCAGCCCTTGCACTTCATCTTGAGTATCTGAGAATCCTAACGGGTGTCTAAGGTGATTGGCTTGAGGGAAGTTTTCTTTGGAATAAACATCTGACTTCAGTCAGGTAATATCCTTGAGGCAATGAGAACAAACTCCCAGAAGTCCATGCCTCTGACTGGACATGGTCAATGACCACCGCTCTCCTTTCAGCTCTGAGACAGAAGTTTTCCTCAGAGATCATCAACTTGCTGAGAAGGATGGGGATGGGGGGAACTGATTATAGGATGTTTCTAGGGGTGAAAAGGGTCATTGTGTCACTGCCATCCACTGTTCAGACTCCTGAACTACATTCCCTTGGGAAAGTCATCATCAACTCCCATTGAGTGCAGTATAAGGACTTGACCAAGTTCCTGGGTACAAGTGCCTGCTTCTGCTGTTGTAAGAGGAGTTCTTGGCCAACTTCTGCACTGTTTTAACATTCTTATACTTTTTTTTTCCTTGTATAAGTTTAGGCAATACATGTAGAAGGAGAGCAGATGGCCATTTATTTCATTGCATAGCAATTTCTCAGTCAAGGTCAGTTAAGAGCAAAGGGACATTTTGTCTCAAAGGAGTTCTTTTTTCTTTTTCCATAAGTGTGTGACTCTAGATCGTTGTAAGAGGCAAGTGAGAGACTGGTGATGAAATAGACTTACAGTAAAGTCTCTGAGCATAGCCACATTCCTGCTTTCTTTGTTACATTCTTCCATCTCCACACCACTGGGTTGGGTCCCTGCTCC